TCTCATCCAAATTATCCAAATCGAAATCCAAAAATTAAAGTTGAAAATTCGGATATTTCAGTAATATTTAAAATATAAACCCCCAAATGCACCCTGCACTTTTCAAAATTGGTTTAGTAATTTCCCAAAATTTCCCTCTATTTTTGACATTTTAACCGCCATGCCCCCATCCCGACTGCCGGAAGTTTGTAAAGTTCGAAGTTGAATGTAACGATGTTGTGACACAGAGAAGGAGCCAACGCCACCTAATCTCAAATTAACCCTACGCAACGCAGACTATTAACAACCACAATGATCGGAAACGGTAGCGCTGGATTCAGATTGAGATGGATATGGACCCGAGGGCTGCGCTCCCAACGGCGTTGCCTCAGAATTCCGGCCAGATGTTCCACTGACGTTACCGCTCAATACGCCATGCTCGGTCTCACTCCGCTTGCTTCCAAATCTGATGTTAAACGAGCGTCTCGCATTGAAGGTCTCTCCCGCTTTTCCTTTTATGTATCGGTTTCTTAAATATTAAAAAAATGATTTTTAACATTATTATTATTTTTTTTAATTTTGGGATTTGCAGTATCATCCAGATGGGTTCAAAGGGGACGTTTTTCTGAAAAGGATAAAGCTTTTAGGGAGATTAAATCTGCAGATGAGGTAAATTTGATTGCATTTTGGGGATGAATGTGCATATGCTCATTCACTTGGTCACGTTGAGAACCTTAAAATCCCCAAAGATGATTATAGTTTTTCTTCCAGTTTGGTTAGTAACTTCTAGATTTCTTTGGGTTTCCTCAGAGACAATGATGTATTGGGTGTTGGTTACACTGCTTGAGTTATGTGGGGGAGGTTGTTCAAGTATGTGAATGGAGAAAGAGAACAAATTTTAATGAATTTCAAGAGAAAAGATATATTTGGAACCATTAATAGAATAAAATTGCGTTTCGGAAGAAGGGCTACTTTGTTTTCATTAACTTCCTTCTACGCTGTCATATTTGTGGAAATTTTGAAGATTTTTAGATGACTCAAGCTTGTTAAGTCTGGTATGATATAGGGTCATTAAAAAGGGAAAAAGGTAGAGAGATATTTATTGTCCACTGAGGAAGCTATCTCTAAAGGTTAAAGCCAGCATCCAAATTCTAACCTTTGGTGTTCTTGTGATAATTGGTGGTCTGTAGTCGATTTGAAGGAAATGAGTCTGAGGCTCCAAACTTTTTAACCCTTATTTCTTAATCTCAGCTCAATGGTACCTCCTTATTATAGGGCTAGCCTGCAAAGAATGAAATGTCAGTTTGCAATATCTCAACGCCCACTACTTTAGTTCTTGTATTGTAGCAAGAACACTACAAGAATTTTAGCTTTTATCCACACTTTCTTTCAAGCGCTTAACTAGTTGTGTTGGTAAATTCTTACATGCACATAGGCAAAGGTGGGCGCTTTCAATCACGCGTCTGATATGTTTTGTATTTGTAGACGCTTATTACTCGAGAGCCTAAAAATAGAAAAAAAAAATGAATAATAGCACAAGGGGGTTTTGGGCGCTTGGGGATTGGGCGCCAAAGGTCACCCATACTCCCACCAAAAAGATTTTCCTCCCTGCCTTCATTTTGTAACCTAGAAGGTCCAAAACTTAAATTTCATTAATTTCTTCTTCATTTTGGGTTTCCTTAATTCTCTCAAAGGGAATCCTTTCTCATTCGTCTACTAAGTTCCCTCCGTCATAATTCTCACCTCACTACTCTAGATTTAGTGATTGGAGGTAATTTGGGGAGGATCGATGATAAAATTTAGGTTAGTTTCTCCTTTGAGCTCTGAATCTCCTTTTGATTAAAGTACATTCTGCCATTTTCCTCTTATTTTGATTTCATTGGAATGACTTTCGAACCCTAACACATATCCTTCTCATGTTTTGATTTCATGTTCTACGGTGAATCTGGGGAGGATTGACAGTGAACTTCTGGTTTGTTTCGTCTTTTTAGATCTTCTTAGGTATTTGTTATGGAATTCTCAATTATTAGTCCATGATTTCTAGTGTTTTGATTAGGAATCTGGTTCAATGACTTTTAATTTAGCAGATTTGTTTCATTTGCTGATGAATTCTGATGTGATAACTTAATTCTTATAAATTCTGGTATGTTGATTTACACTGGCATGCACATTCGTCCTTGTTTGCTCCTCCATTTTGATTGGGGTGTTCTGTCCAAGAACAACTTTACCCACTTTCCATTCTTGCCAATGAACTTTCACTTCTTGCTAATAGGTTGCAGGCAATGGTAGTGGCTAAGGAATCTAACTTTAATTTTTCTTTTGGCTTTTAGTTGAGATTTATTTTACTTTCATGTGATGAAGGCTATTTAGGTTTCCATCAAGTGATGAAAATTGGATATCCATCTCACACTATTTCCTAAGCTTCCATCAACTGCTAAGTATTTCTCTAAAATGTGGGTTGAAGGAAATAAGTTTCATCTAACAGTAATGATGAATACAAGCTAAAATTGGTGGTTACTTTTTTCTGATGAATATTAGCTAAAATTGGTGGCTACTCTCTTTTGTTGCAGCTTGTAATTGTTTTTTATTAGTAGTCTTTGAATGTTTAAACCTAAACAACCTGTTGGTAGGGTAGGAGATACTATGGCAACTGATTTACAAACAAGACAGTAGTGCATGGCCAAGATTACAAAGATGATCCATGTCAGTTTCACCTTTTTTGTTTCTTTTATTTTTGATTCCTATTTGTCTTACCTATAAGAGTTATAATGAATGATGAGACGGTACATCAATTATGCAAGAAAGCTATTTCTCAGGTGTAACTTTTGTAGATTATTTTTGGTTAGCACTTATAGCTTTCAAAAAATATTTAATATCACCATTAGAGTTTTGAGACTATGAGCTCTGCAAATTGCAAGGAGTCTTTGATCGTGGCTAGTGAGATGAGACTAAAAGAGTTGACATCCTTTTGGTCAGTATTTCTCCTTTATTAGCAACAGTGGACTCTTATTCATAATGCAGAACCTCCTTTCTGTTGAAGTAACTTTAATGGTCACAGGTGAAATCTAGTCTTCCTTATTTGGATATCACAAGAACTCTCAGGGTCAGGGATAAATCTCCTCTACCAATTAGCATATTAGGTAATTTTCATTACCCATGTTACTTCGTTTTATCATTTTATTACTCTTTTTATCGTTTTAGTTCTTGGAAGAAAAGGTTTTCCTTTAACTGCTCTATATAGTAAGCCTTGATTAAAAGGTTTGCTTTAGATTACTTTTTTTTTTTCACATTTTTTCTTGTATGCAACCATTTATGGTCTTTTAATTGCTTTTACATTAGAAACTTATCTTAGAGATGCTTCAGAATGAATTTAATTATCTCCCTGTCTTTGGTCACAAGTCTTCTTCATGATAATGTCTTGGATGACTTTTAAGGACCCAAAAGGGACAAAAGGCCCAAAACCGAAAAGCTAAAGGGCTCAAATCAGCCCAACAAGGTGAAAGTTTTGGGATTATTTCTTTTT